AAATGTCCTTATGTTAGCCATACCTATTGACTCATTTGTGGGTGAAATGATATAATGTCTGATGTCTGGGATTTATTTTTAAATACTCTAGGAAAAAAAGTGGGTGGAGGAGAGACGAAACAAAATTAGCAAAATGTTGATAATTTCTGAAGCTGGGTGAGGGGTTTATTCTTCTATTCTACTTTTGGGTATGTTTGTTAAATTTTCTGTAATGAGGGTTTTTTTTTTAAGTTTAAAAAAGGAAAGAGAAAAAAATTTAAATACAAGAGTAAAACGAGCCTCACCTCTCCCAGGATATAACAAAAGTAGCTTTTTGTCTATAGCCGATGGTAGCATTTCACACAGCAGTGGTTGTCAAAGTTTAGGCCTCTGGGCTTTCCACGGAACCCAAAAGCAAGTCCAGGTCTCATCACTGTGTGCTGGGAACTGATTATATTTTCTCCAGTATAATTAGTTTAGGAGTATGTATGCTTTGGGATAGGGGACATAATGATGTCCTCTCTTTTCTTTGAGGCAAAACTATGAAAATCAGCAGTGAATGGGTCACAGGGTACTGCTTTTCAGTGCTCTTCCTTCCCTGGGGCATTTATTTTGCCATGAAAGATCCTCCTCTCCCCAACATCCAGGCAATTCACAGGGTCTGTGGGGTCTTTTCCTAGCTATAGTGGCCCCCAAAAGGAAAAAATGTTGGGGACTGCTTCCTTGTGTAGTGTTGGGGCCCAGGGCAGGCCACCCCAAAATACCCCACAATAGCATACTGATTATTTTGAATTAAAGTTACTCGAGAAGCAAAAAGGGCATTCTGACCCTCCTGTCTCTGTTCCCCCTGAGAGCAGGAAATAAATCTCCCCTGTGAAAGGTGCTTTCCCTGCATCCTTATCACCAGAGCCGGGGAATTCAGGGCCAAGAAGCCTGCATAGACAAACCTTGCTAATTTACTACCTTAAGCCTAAACCGCTTAAATTCCTCACTAATTCCATACCCCAAACCTAAGTTTCTTTGTCCTGTCAATTTTTCACAAATTTATGTTTCTTTGTGTAAAAGACATATATACTGCCTACTTGGTTCATTCTCTGAGCATCATTTCTCTATTATCTCCCATACATATATATTAAACAGGGTTTTTCTCCTGTTAATCTGGTCTTGTGTCAGTTTTACTATTAGTCCAGCCATAAAAACGTAAGAAGGGAAGCAGGGGATTTTCCTTCGCCCCGACAGTAGCAATAAGGTGTCTGTTCTTTTTGGCCTGGGAGCAGCAAGGAGTCAGTTGGGGCTCTGCTGGGAGTGTAGCTATATTCCTAACATTCCAGCCTTGGCCCACTCCCCTAGACCACTAGTTGCACCACAGTTAGTTCTATTCAGCAGAAATAAATGGTAAACTTGTTGACATTTTTGTCCTCTTTACAATTCATTGTTTATTTTTCCATGACTGAGAATTTTGATGCAATTATCACTGAGCTTTCTGACAAAAGGGAAATAGCTGAGGAATTTTGATGAGTTACCCACTTCATTAATCAGAACAAGCATCTCCAGTGACAGGGTTGGAATTACAATGAAGATTAGATAGCAAATTACTGTTCCACCTAACGTCAATCATTCCCAGTGACAGCAGTGTGATTACACTTCAGGGAAGAGCTTTTCTTGCCAACAAAATGAGGGCAACTCCAGTGCAGGTAATAAATTTAGCAGGGCGAGCTGTCATTTCTCCTCTTGAGTGGAATCCTTAACAATTGAATGATGTCTTGTGGAAGAGTTTGAGAGAAGAAAAGCATTTCATTTAAAAAGTTTCTAAATTTCACTTTGTAGTATTTTATTTTCAAAAATTCTTATAGATATGTGCTTAGGAACAGTTCTTCCCACAATGATTTTTTGTATTTTATTTACCTGTATCACACCTTAATTAACACCTATGATAAAGGGATGGTGGGAGTTAGTAAAAGAATGCATGACTATATTTGAAAATCTATCAAAAATAAAAACTTGGTGCATAAATAAATGAACTAGGTAAGAAATGGAAGGAGGTCCGAGTAGTTGCCTGGCTAGTTAAAACATTAAGTTCTTCTGGCTTGCACAGAATGTATTCCTCTTCCAACCCAATCGTGGTTGTAAATGACAGTTCTTGTTTCAGAGAGCAAAGGGATGGAGCACTAGTGTGTTTCCAGTGTAGAACTGAAGAGGAGAGGCAGGCCTGGGGGCAGCGGGGACTCAGCGGTGAGGAGGGGTGATAGAAAGAACAGATAGATCACGAGTAGGGAAGTGTGCCACTTCTCCTCCCTTCTAAATAAAAGCGGAGTGCTGGCATCCTCTCCCAGAGAAGACAGGACTGAGAGTATTTTCCTTTCCCAAATATTTTCCTCCCAGCACATTTATGGCACTCCTGTTTGCCTGAGTAATGTTTGCTGTGAATCAAGAATAACTAAGTGGCTATTCTTGATTCATACTTTTATTTTTTTGTTTAAATTTCAGTGAAATCGCTTTTTTGAGAAGGCAGGAAAAAAAACAATAGCAGGTCGATTTCAAGAAAGCAGTTGCTGTAGAAGTCTCTCACTTCGCTGCTGTTAACTTCTGTGCAGTGAACCTGAATTATAGACCTTTAAAACTGACCATTTTGCTCTCCAAGTCTAAACTTCAGTATTTTAAAGACATATATTGACTATAGCATTTATAAACTCAAATTTTCCCCTCTTAAATTCAGATATGTTCTAGCAGTGCTTTTGTGCTGTAGAAAGTTATGTATTGAGTTCTTTCTCTTTCAGTATAAAAGCAGCAAAGAATTTGCCCTTCCTTTTTAGGAGAGATTTATTGCCCAGTACATTGGGTCATCAGATGCCAGAATGTGTCCGTTTTAGCCTTAGGTGTACCACTATCTCTTCACTTTGTAAACTGAGTTATTAACCCTTCTCTACTTGAAGTGTAGCTTGGTAAGGTAAATCATAATATCTGCAGTCTCTCTATTTTGTATTGATGATCTACGAATTGATAAACTAGTAGATATAAGGTGCTTTGCACTTCACAGAGAAGGAATGTGGAAATCCAAGGACATTATTAATAGTGTATTATTGTGGCTGTGGACTGTGTTTCTACTATTTCATCATTAGAAATATTCCAGGAGTTAAAATTAGAGATAGCTATATATAGAATATTTTATCAAGTCATTCAAGAGAAATGTCTTAAATGAATCTAGTAAATAAACACAGAGTATTTTCTTTTGACTATAGCACACAAGGTAACACTTTTTTTTCATGCTGTATTTTGTGGGATAGATAAGCATATAATAATTCAAAAAGCATACCCCCTCAACCTGGCAGCTGTGTGTCTTTTCCTTGTTATGACTGAAGGCATATCCTATATTCAGAAAATCTGTCTTTCTCCACCCCCTCTTCCTACTTTCTTCCCTCCCTCTCTCCCTCCTTCCCTTCCTTCTTTCCATGGGATCTAAGGTCAAAGTCTAGAAAATGTGCCCTTGTTTGACATAATGGAAAGGGAACAAGGGCTTTTTCAAGTTTGCCATGATTTCTCCCAATAAGAAATTATAATAAGGAAGATTTTGTAGTTTGTCTAAATGGGAATATAACTGGTTTCCTAAGTAGAAAACCTTTCTGGCCAAATGGGCTATTTCTAAGAATTCTAGCATATGCTCCCTTATGGTATTGGTCTTTTAATTTATATATTCTCTCTCATTATAACCTCTCAAAAGTGGAGATTGTATCTTAAACAACTTTGTTCAGAGTTTCCAAATTCAAACATAGTGGCAGGTGCTTACTAAATGTTTAAATAGTAAAAGGTAAGTATTTTTATAGAGACAGAAGCAGTCAATAGGGCTGACCCTGCCAAGGCTACCAAGTTCTTGAAGCTGGTCATCAGGCATCCCTCGTACTTCCCACAAAGTCACTTCCTATGAGGTTACTTTCTGGTTTAGTGCACCCCGCACTGGTACCACTCTCAGATTTGCCATTCCCATTTATGGAACCCAGTCTCTTCCTTCTGGAGGCTCACAGTCTAGTGGCAGTCGGTAAATAGGTGATTATAATACAGTGTGATAAGCTTTTTGACTGAAGAAAACATAGGTTGCTCTGGGAACACTGTGGAAGGGCACTTACATTTGGGGAGAGGGGTTGGTAATAGGAGGGCTTCCTGAGAGAGGTGACTCCTGAAGTAGTCAAGCAGAGAGAGCAGAAAAGGATGGAGAAATTAGTATGACTATAGATAGGAAGGTGTGAAACAATATGGTTGGTGTAAGGCAAGAGCTGAAAGTAATTTGATGTAGTAGGAACTTAACAGCTTGCTGGGAAGTTAGAAGATGTAGGCAAGGATTGGATCTGAGAGATTTTCTTAGACTAGGACCACAACTACTTCTCTGGGGACATCCTTAGGGTGAGTAGACCTTGTCCAATTTGTGGTCAAATGCATATAGTGGAAGATTGCAAGCAGTGTCTATACGTCAAGTGCATATAGTCTTTCTAGGCCTGCTCACCAAAGCCTTAACATGGCCAGTGGTGGCCCAGCTGAAGCTATTGTTTTTAGGGACCCAGGGACCTAAGAACCCATTCTATCCTTATGGGATCTCCTATGTTCATCTGTGCAGGACAGTGGTGTTAGTAACAGGAATGAATTAAATGGTTGGTATTTCAAACTCCAGGACAGCCTGGCAGGGGAGATCCTGTTGGAAGCAGGTCTTTCAAGCCTCTCAAATAAGCCCCTTAACTGAGACCTTAGATCTGACTGTTACGCCAACTCCCCATAGGACTGGTGCCTTACAATGAGAATTAAGTATTTTAGTTTAAGTCATGAGGCTGTGTGTGCCTCAGTTGCGTGACTTGAATATTTCTTGCCATTATTTGCCTAAAGCAACTGTGCTTTGTGCCCCTTCCATCAAGACGACAGTTTCTAGATTTGTTAGAAAAGATGTGAGGGGGAAATCCGAAGAGAGGGCTCTCGCTATTAGATACTAAAAACACTAGTGCTGATCAGTGGTGATTTTCCAAATGTTTCCATTGCAGTGTCAAAAACGGTATTTCTCTGCCTGGCACAAGCTGATTCTTGATCACAGGATTAAGCTGGGGAAAGCTGGGACCCTGTCCGACTGGAAGCTTCAACTAAAGGTTCTGCGGGCCTGGAGAGACTACACAAGATCCCGGAAGTTGGAGCGGGAGACACAAGCCATGGAAAATGACCTCAGGGAAGAAAACAGGTACTGTTATTTGTACCATGAAAATCCTTCTAGTTTGTTTATCTAGGACGTCTTTCCTCCTGAAGACTCTAGAAATAAACTCTAAAAATGCTGTTCACTGCAATCATCTCACCACTTATAAAACAGTGGTGATCACTGTTTTTCTGTGTTACATCCTAAACTAGAAAAACTTAACTGAAAATTATAAGCAAAAAAATTATGTGATTAAAATATACTAACGTACATGCTTTCCTTTTTTAAAGGAAGCAAATATTATGCTTTTCCCCTGTCCTCTGATGCAGTAGCATTGCACCTTGGACTGTCTTACCATTCAGAAGACAGAGTTTGGTTTATATGCCAGTAATTCTCGTTAATAGAAACCACTGTCTGCACCTAGAATGTTCATATTAGGGACACAGGGAGCATCCATCGGGGAGGGCAGACCTGCCAAGAGTGATTCCTCCCCCTCCCCCATCTTTTGTTCCACACTTTATTTAGAGGTTTTTGACACCTTTATATCAGCTCCCTTTTAGGCTTGAGAATGACAAAACTTTGTCTTCAAATAAAACTTTCTTTGTTCCATCATCTTAGAATTAAATACATTTTCTTCTTTTCATTTCCAAGTTCAACTTTGCATTCTTGAACCAAAATCATAGATGTAGAAGGAACGATTTGTTTGTTTGGGGGGAGGGGAGCAGTTCATGTTCCTGTGTGTAATCACTTCTCTACCAGTGACTCTGTTACTCATTCAGGGTGAAAAATTGAGTGAAGGATATGTGAAAGCATTGTTATGTAGGAGGGAATGGCGCCCTCTAGAGTTGTGCAGTCCTGTGACAGCATCAGGCCCTGGGGAGGATACATAGGAGCCTGATGCACGGTGCCTTGTCCTCACAGAACTCACAGCTTTGTGGGGAAAACAAGATCTAAAAACAGTACAGGTGTGAGTGGCATTATAAACTTCATAATGCATCCCCTTCTGCTGCTGAGAACTTAGCAGAAGGAAGCATCACTGTGACTGAGGAGGCTCCTACAGGGTGCCGGGAAAGGCTTTATCAAGAAGGGGCCGGCCTGGTGGTGTAGTGGTTAAATTTGCGTGCTCCACTTTGGCAGCCCAGGGTTTGTCGGTTCAGATCCTGGGTGCAGACCTACACACTGCTTATCAAGCCATGCTGTGGCAGGCATCCCAATTATAAAGTAGAGGAAGATGGGCACGGATGTTAGCCCAGGACCAATCTTCCTCAGCAAAAAGAAGAGGATTAGCAACAGATGTTAGCTCAGGACTAATCTTCCTCCCCACAAAAAAAAAAAAAAAGAAGAGGATGGGTCTTGAGCTGGGCTCTGCACAACAAGTAGGATGTTCCTAGGTGGAGATGGAGAGACAGGTGATGGCATGAAGTGTAGCCATCCAGATTGAGGATCATCAAGCACGTGGTTGTCAAGTTCATCCATTTGTGAAAGGCCTTGAATGCCAGGACAAGAAGGTTAGGTTTTCCTTGGTAAATAAAGGTAAATTCTTGAAGGTTTTTAAGTAGGAGGGTGACCGAGTCAATTTCCCTTTCCTACAGTGTGCTGGGGGAAATCTGCAGTGAAAAAAAACGTCCTCGTAAAAAACTCTTCCATAATTTGTTTTTAAATTCTCAAGACCTAGTGATTGGTCTCAGGAATTGGAATGATAGCTTACTGAAGAAAGAGTGGCTGGCAGGATTCTTGGCTGAAGAAGGGAAGCTGGAGGTGTTGTCAAGGGGAAGCAACGCGAGTGAGGGTATGAAGGGAGTGGAAACCGAGATGCTCAAGTTAGAAGTGGCCCGTGAAATGTACATGCTGGAAGAAACTTGTCAAAGAAAAATCTGAAGAACTTGAGATTGCATTCCAATTAAACAGTTTAAATATAAAAGCACTAAATGGGGATTTCGTAATAGCATTATGTGCCAATTTTTTTAAAGATCTTCTCAGAACTTTATGTCTCGTGTCTGTGAATTATTTTCAGGTGCCTATTTTTAAATGTTCAGAATGGGTACTACATTTTTTTCAACTGCCAGAGTTAGAAAATATTTAACTTGTAATAATTTTTGTACTATAAAACTTTAAAGCAAAAAAAATCTGAGAGCAGGAAGGCACCTCAGGGATCATCTGATCCAATCTCTCATTTTACAGATAATAAAAGTAAGGCCCAGAAAGGGTAAACGACTCTCGCAAGGTCGTCAGGTTACGAGCAGCTAGTCCGGGACTACAGCCTGGTCTTTTTGCTTCTGAGTCAGATGCTTTTCCTATACCTCACTCCTTCTATGTTAAATAGCATCTGGGTGATGGTTCCCTAAGACAGCCATGTTTTCCAATTATATTGCAATTTACTTTAGATGCAGATGAAAAGAAGAGCAGTAATTAACAAGTGACAGGTCATGCTAGAAACATGAGAAGAAAGGAGCCATTAGACACAAACTGTCCATTGTGCAGCTTTCCTCCAAATCCCTGGCTCCTCTGCGTGTTGTTCTTTGTTCTAGAGATTGGTTTAGGAAATTAAGTTGAGTGGTTTTGATCAAAGAAGGTTGGGATATTACAGGTGGAGAAGAAAGCTCAAAGGTAGCTACTGCAAGCAGAAACCAAGAAATGTCAGTGGGGTTGAGGGTGTCAGGAGGGCTGGGACCCTCTTACCATGCCCATCGGGGTGTCTCCTGGTACCTCAGTGGACGCCGAATACATATTTGTTGAATAAAAGTGAGTCAGTGGATGAATGAAGGGCTCAGTTGCTTCCTCTCTTGCAATTTAACTTGATAGCATTTTCAAGCATTTTTTTCTATAAATAGTGAGCCCAAGGGATAGAAAGCATTTATTATAGTGGGTCACTCCTTACAGAAACTAAACTCTTAGCAGGTTAACAAAACACAGATGCGTCTGTGGCCCATCCACCTGGATGTGGAAATCCTTTGCTGTGTCCATTTCTCTAATGTCGTCTGTGTCCTCATCCTCCAGCTCTTCCATCTACATTTGTTTGTGCCACCTGAGGTTTCCCCTCACTCACCTGTCCCCCAGGTGGGGCCCAGCCTTTCGGACTTCTTTCTTTTCCTTCTTTCATTTTTGTTCTTCCCACTTTCTCTCTGGAGCAACAACAGATCCCTTTCTTCTTCTTCATGATTTAGCCACTGTCTTCTCTTACTGAGCCTGTGCTCAGAGTCTCCCCTCCACTCCAGGGGCTCATCCATGGGTGTCTTCTAAAGATGCACCTTGCTGTCCCTAATAGGAATTCTGGTCACTCTATTTTTGTTGATCTCTTTTCTTTGAAAAGTAGTTGTGGTAATGGTGTTAGAAAATTTCAATGCAATATTGTAATACAATTTCAACGTTAACAAATATTCCCAAATCCTAACTAAGAATTCCCTCACTTAGGTAATGCGACAAAATTGTGGTACACACATTCAGTTAGACCCTTTGACATGGTGGTATTAGAATTTGAACTGTTTTTAATTTCCTTAGCATATTCACTTTTTTGGCCCCAGATCTAACATTCCTTCCCTCTCCCTTCCTCCCTAAATTTGTGGCCAGCCCTAGACAAATTGGGAAGAAGCGGGGTTTGTTTTCAACATCCTCCACATGCCCTTCCTGGGCCCCACTGCCCTGATTTCTCAGTTCTTTCCTGGGAAGCTTCTCTGTCCTTCCCTTAATAACCTCCACATCACCTTAATCCTGCCTTTCTTGCACCAGGGCTCTGGGCCTTTCCTGGAACATGCTTTTGTCTCTTCCCTTTGTCCCTCAGGCCCCTCACGCTTTGTCACTGTAATCCTCAATTGACGTTATCCCTCCCAGGAAACTTAGTCCACTTTAACAGGCGTTGTCCGGAAACAGAGCCCAAAATGTAAGTGATGGGGATCTGAGGGTACTGTGGTAGGCCAGCGGAAGAACTGGCCCTTTGACATCCCTCAGAGCATGGCATTCATTCATTCACTCATTCTTTATTCTGTTTGATAGCATGTATTCATTCAGTCAACCAGCTTTACTGACACTTGCCGTGTGCTAGACTCTCTCTTAAGTACCAGGGGGGACTAAAAATGTGTTACAAATTCTTGCCTTCTAGGAGTTTTCAATCCAAGTGGAGAAGTTAAAAATTACTGTACCCAAATGCTAAAAATAACTGCAACAGAAGCCACCATAAGATAAATACTGAGGAGTGACATAGACTTGGCTATCATGCATTACAGTCCCTTGAGGAGCTTTTTAAAAATAGGAATTCTTGGGCCCCATCTTCTGAGAGAGACAGATGGTGGCTAAGTAGAAGAAGGTATTTTGTTAGTTTGGGGACAAACTTGTACACCAGCACATAGGTAGCTTATGTGGGAACCGGCTGGGTGAACCCGCCAGGCCAGCCTAGAAGTAGGGAGGCAGAATGGAAAATAGCCTGTCAGGTGTTCCCCAGTCCCAGTACTCCTGACTTCAGCATGCGTGAGGGCAGTCGTTTATGGAGCACCTCTGCTAATCATGTTCGATTGCCACTCCCTCCGTGCTCACCTGGGTATCCAGGGGAGAGACCAGACACCGCATGGCATCTGAAGCTGTGGAAGCTCCTGACAGGGCTGTCAGAGAGGCAGGAGGACCAGACCTGCATTGCCTGGCTCACTTTAAAACAGATTTGTGTTATCTTCCATTTTTTCCCTGGGGGCTACCTGGTGCATTATTGAGTGCATTAGCTTATTTATTCCTATTTCTGCTGAACTTGCTCATCTGAAATGCAGCTGTGTGCATCATTGCTATTTTTATGTTCTGCATCAGATTTCGGCACTTCATCAGATCACTACTATGTGGTTATTTATTTATCATTTCTCATTTCCTTTTAAAAAATTCAAGACAGTTTTTAGATATCTAGTAGTCTTGCCCTAAGATAGTGTTATTACCTTACATGTGAATTTATCTTATAGTTTCAGGTTCTTTTTTTATTTAATTAGATCTTGAAACAAAATTCCTACAGGATAAGCAGTGTAGGGCTTTTTTTTTTTTTTTTGAGTGACACCATTTTTGAGGAGGAATCTGAGGCTTAGAAACTTCCAGTTGCTTGCCCAGTGTCCCGTGTCTAGTTAGTGTTCTTCTGACTTCTAGGCTCTAGAATATGCCCCAATCACTAAACATCATTTGAGGTGTCAACTCTAAGCAGCATGGTTCATATTTAAATTCCTATTTAAACCTTTTATACTTTATATTCTTAGGTCTACAGAGACAGCCTTTCTCTGCATGCAGTTATATAATTGTGATGATCAGTTTTTATACTCTTGCCAGAAATTCCCTGATTTCAGCTTGGAAGCATATTGGAACAGGATGTTTTCTATAAGGGAACTCTGTTCTTCATTTTATGATTATCTGGGAACTGTTTCTGAAACCAGTTCTTTAGGTTAGCATACCCAAGTAAATCACATCTGATTGAGCTTTGGAGATATTTAAGTGATTTTTCACTTTCAGAAATATGTATGTTTTTAGTGTCATCTTTTTACAACTATGGAGATTGGCCAAACTGGAATATTGGCACTCTGCTGAAGTGCATTGCAAGGGAGCAGGAGTAGAGCCGGCCTTGTCTCTGGACCCCTAGCTTCTGCATTTCCACCCTTCCACCTCAACCCACAAACAGATACTGTAAATACATTTTCAACTTCCCTGCAAAACCATTATAGAGAGGGCTCCAAGCACTAGAGTGAACATGCATTTTTTACTCATTTTCTTACTATCTCGTCTTTTTCTTATATTTACAGAAATATTTTTCTCTTTGCCTTTTCATATTGTCCAAATAATCTCCTCCCTGACAGTCAAAACCCCAGTGCTGCTTTTGCCTGTTTATGCTGTAAACACATGAAATTAACACATCAGGTAAATTTCACACTCCCCCTTCCTGAGCAGATTGATGTAAATCGAATTTCACATTAAGCAGACAGAGCAGTGTACATCTTCTATCCTGTGGACATTTATGATTTTCACTTACTTGAGTAAATAATGGTTTTTGCTAAAAGCTTTTTTGTTTCACTATTTATCCATTGATATTTTTGGAGCTTTGTTCTGGACCTGTGTTGCTACCTGATTTGTTATCATTATTTCTTCTAAAATTTTTCCTTCAAGGTTATTCAGTCTTGTATTAGATACTTAATTTATTTCCATCAAAGTAAAATACTATATATAAATGTTTACTACCACCTATATTGTACTTTTGTTACAAGCCATCAGTCAGTCAATCACCAAGTATTTATTAACAATCATTAATGCATTAGAAGGAAGCAATTAAATATAATGAAATATGCTGTTGGCAGAGTTAGTGTTTATCCTGAAATTCACTATTTCAGTCGACTCTGCTCTCACTAATTGGTTGTTTCGTCTCACTCCTCTGACATAGGTTAAATTATCTGACTCTAAAGTCGTCTTTTTCAATCTAAGGGTTTTAACCCATTAATGGGTCCTGAAATCAGACTCAAGATGAGCTGAATTTTTTAAGGAAATAATAGAGATTAGAAAAGAAATATCAGAGTGTATCTCTGGTAGTAAGGATAAATATTATTTGGTGAAACTTTTGTTTCAGTTATATATACTTTTGTTTTAGACACACATACACACGTAAACTTATATCTTGTGACTCAAGATACTGTAGGTGCAGTCTTTCTACAGTTAAGAACTGTAGAAATGTTCTCCTGACTCATTGACTTCAGAACTTTTTGATTTTTTTGATATAACCCCAAAAAGTCCAGGGGGCACTGTTTTGTAAGCATTATGTATGCTTAACAGAAATGGATGTGCAAATAGTGTTATAGAGAACTTGTCACCTTTGTAAGATAAAATCAAGTAAGTGTCTAAACAATATTAGATTTAAATCTCAAAACTGATCCCTGGTGCAGCATATTAAGTTCCAAGCTCTACAGCTCGCTTCTTCAGGGACAATAATCCGCTTATAGATAGATCTCAGAGACCTCTATGCTCTGAATTCTGACTTGGCTGCCACCGAAGTGTCTCCTAATGGAGATTCCCTTTGGGAAGGGAATGTAGCTGGCAGTTCCTAAGTCCACTCAGTCATGTCCCCTAATCTTCATGAAGTTTCCAGGAATCCAGAGGAGCTCTTCCTTAGGAAAAGAATGAACTGGACCCCCTGCGAGACTATGAATGAATTCCATGAGAGCAAGTTTCACACGTTTCTAGTGTTTAGCAAGTATCTTCACGAGGCAGTCCCTCATTCATTCAGTTTAAGGGTTTGGTAAATGAGTCCCTTTTTTAGAGATCCTTTCCCTGACCAAGGCCTTTTTTCACAAGATCCACCCTCGTGGTTTCCTGTTGACTTTTGTAAGTCTTATACTTAATTAATTATTGATAATTCACTTGTTAAGTTTTATTCCTTTCCCTTTCTCCCAAACCTCTGTCTTCTTTAGATTTCCAAGCATGGCTGAATATCTTCCTCATGCATTCATATTTTTTAAAGTAGTTATTTATATACCTATTCTTTTTGCTCCTTCCCCTCCAAACCTCTCAGAAACTATTTTATGGTAATCAAAAAATGTAATATGTCTTTGTGACATGATAGAACAGAACAGTCACTCTTTCTTCTGAGGTGATGTCTTGAGGTGCCAGCACCTTCTATGAGCAGACCCTTTGCACCAGGGAATTTTATAAAGTGATTCCATTCAGCTTAAATAAAAGCATAAGATGGAGCATTTCTGGGACTCCTTTGGACTTGTGTTTCATTTATATTATCAACTAACCAGCTGTAAATGGCTTCTTTTTTGTAATGAAAGTGCTTTGTTGCTTAGAAAACAACAACTGGCCACTGAGTATAACCAGAAACAAGTTCTCCGACACTGCTTTACGGAATGGCAGCATTGGCATCGTGCAGAGATCCTAAAGAGAGAGCTGGCTCTGACAAAGGAGGAAACTAGGAAGAAAATCAATGAGGTGCTGAATGCGGCATCGCTAGGGAAACTCAGTGCAAACAGGTCATCAGGCATCAGTCTACCTGAGGAGGCACCAGCCGTGGTGGATCCACCTGCAAAAAATGGAGAGGTACATTGTTCTTCCTTTGCTTGGTCTTCCTGCATTTTAAACACTTGCATTTGAACTTTGCACTTGTATAGCCTGGGCTCTGTTCACCATTGTCAGATTGCCTTGCCTAGGCTGTGTAAAAGCTGAGAGCTGCTACAATGCACAAAGGTTACCTTTCAGTCAGCATTGATTTTCTTGAACTGAATCTTCTTTTTATAATCACATATAAACTTGAGTATAGTTGCAACTTAGTAGGGACATAATATAGAGAGGAAATTGAAAACCGCTAAGTGCAAGACTCCTTCAGGAACAGATATCTGAAGCATTGTTTACAACTCTTGTTTGATCAATCAGACATTTCCTTTCTAAATACGCTTATGACTTAGGAGAATGTTTAAGTTTTTATTTGTCTAATGAGAAAAGTCTTATATATTAATTGTAGCAATTTGGTAGGAGAAAATGACAGAGGAGAAAGAAAAATAGCCTACAGTTCCATCATCTGGAGATAACTGCCAGTAACTTTTTGAAGGATAGCCGTCTAGTCTTTATTCAGACATATGCAAATTTTTCTATTTAATATTTTATTTAGCTTTTAAATTTTCTTCAGTCAAGTCATTGAGGATATCTAGTCTGACACTATAGGAAAAGGAAGGCCATTTTTTTTTTCTTCTTAATAATAATGTAATTATTCTGTTTTTCTAATTTTTTTTTTTTTGCATTTTCACAATTTAATATGAGAATTTTGTGTGTCACTAAATCTGCTTCTGCAACAGTAGTTTTCAAATGAGAGTAGAAAGCAGAATCAGACCTACCAAATCAGTATTTATGGGCATAGGGCATCTGTATTTTTTTTAAAGTTCCACAGGCGAACCTGGTGCATACCCCTGGTTAAGGACTACCATCCTGTGCCATCATTTGTAATGGCTTCGTGATATTCTATCCTTCTCTCATGCTGGACGTTTAAGTTGTGTCAAGTGTGCTGCTGTTGTAAACAGTGCCTCAGTGAACATCCTTGTAGTGAAATCTTTGTACACATCCACAGTGCTTTACTTAGGATAAATACCTAAAAATAGAATGCACATTTTTAAAGACTAGTACAAATTACCCTTCTAGAAAAGTTGTACCGAAGAAGTGCCTATTTTCCCATCTGATAACATTTTTTTCATTTTTGCCAAGTTGACAGGTAAAATATTTTCATCTTTTATTGCTTCAACATTTGCATTTCTTTGATTACTAGTGAGGTTAAACATTTTTTATATTGACCAATTACATATATATGTATATGAAAGTGGATATAGAAAGAGATATATAGTGACCTGTCTCTTCATACCCTTTGTCCATTTTTCTACTTGATTATATATCTTTTCCTTATTTATATCTTTAAGACTAATGATACTTTATTATTTTATATTTTGCAAATATTTTTTTCATTTTGTCGTTTATCTTTTTGGTTTATTTATGGCATTTGGTACTATACACAGGTAAGTTTTCATAAAGTCAATCCTATCAGTTTTTCATTCATAATTGTGCTTGTCATGTTTGAAAGCCTTTTGGAGAAGGTCCTCTCTCCCTTCACCTGCTCCCCAGACTCCTCCATGCCTCCACAGAATGCTGTTAAGTGCTTGACCCAGACCTGTGGAGTGAAATCAGGCACTGGAGGGTCCCCAGTCTTGCTTTTTACCCTGATCACTGCTAGCAGGTAGGCTGGTTTTAATTTAAGGTTAATCTCTCAGCAACGGGGGATCAGGAGGATGCTTATCAGGACTTAGGTAACATTTTGGCCCCTTCCTCTAGGCAATTTATCTACCTTTATGTCACTTAGGTAATTTTGTTTTCCTTGAGACCCAAGAGAGTCTTCTATCTTGGGAAATGGCTGTGTGAGACCTTTTATCTTACAAAGTTCCACTGTTATTATCTTTAAATGCAGAAAAAGTCAACAGAAAGTATTTTTTTACCTGCATAAAACATAAAAATTACTAAATATATATATATTTAGATTTAATTTAAAAAACCTCTAAATTTCTGAAATCAAGAACAAAAGATTTTATCAAGAAAGGAGAATATTGTAAAAAAATAGAGCAAATGAAAATAAAGGGTTATAATGACTCTGTAGATTATTAGATAAACTTGAATCTTTTCCAGAGGGTAGAGTATAACATGAACAAATGAAAATATGAAATCTTTAGTTAGATGCTCATTAATTATACAATCATAGGAACTCATGTACCATGAATGCATATATTATACCTTGAAATTTTTCAAAATTATGTTAGCTAATAGGTGATTTTCTCTAGTTAAGCCAGACTGTTCAGTCCTGTTCTATTAAGTACAATCTGTACCATTGAGCTTTTCTTTCATTCTTTTATTTTCACCTTAAAAAGTTACCATGATCTAAAAGAAATCTTGCTGCTGTACTCAAGGCTTTTCCAGTCCTGCTGGGTTAATAATGTATCATTACTACAAAGTTTAAAAGGGCCTAAAACGTATACCCTGCTTGATGCTAAGTTACTTAAGCAGGTGTTCTCATGAATAAATGTCCACCGACATTTCTGAAATAGAAAGTTATTTTTAAAAGTCTTTAACATGTCAGAGTTTCCATACATCACATCTTTCACTTCAGCTGGGTCTATAGAAAATATTTCCATCATCATAAAAAATATTTCTGAGTACCTTAGTATGTCACCCTGTTAGAGCTAGAAGCTTCTAAGATATGAGATAGTTCATAGTACTTTTCTCTTTGTATCACTACAGATGGCAGAATCAAAAACTGGTTAGACCCTCAACCATGGAATCTAACCATTCTAGAAGAGACATTTTAACTATGACATTATTTTGGCCAGGACAAGTTTTTCTGATTAAGAATTCTGTTTCCTTCCCCTCTGTATAGAACTTATAGTTGAGTATGATACCTCAGTCTGTTAAATGAGATTTGTATGATAAAGCTTTTAAAGCCATTAAGCTGTATGCTAATACAAAATGTTATTAGGTAACATTATTCTTATGTAATGTAGACATTTGCCCAGTGATCCTGGGCTTGCATATACTTCCCACAAATAGTTTGGGAATAGCTGAAGACTGAGATTGTGAGTTTTAATCCAGACCTTGATCCTGAAGTAAATAAATGCCCTGTGATTAATTTACTAATGGCAAGAGAGAGGCATTGAAAGAACAGAGCTATTATTGATTTGTAAAGGTATTCTTTAGTTTTCAAATTTCTGCAAAATTCAGAGTCAATTCATGCAGGTTAACATTCCTGTAATATATGTCTGGAGTAATCTTGCCTAATTCACAAATGAACTATCTAAATTAGAAATTTATACGAGCACGTTTTTCTTATTGCAGATGTCCTGGCCCATGTCAGTGGTTTGTACAGCTGTGGCCACTCTCCCACCCAGTTTCCATGGTGAGCAGCAGTGCACGTTCTAAGAGTGGCTCGCAGAGCTACGGCTGGTGGCCTCCGAGACAGCCAGGCCAGGAGTACAGGACAGCTCTGGCTGGGGTGCAAGGCAGATGTGCCATTGAACAGAACAAGACTGATCTCATCAGCACAGTCCTTTAAACAGCTGAACTAAAACATGTTTCTTCTCTCCCAGGTGACTGCCGTGCCCGCTTTGTGGGAAAAGCTTCCCTCAGGCAGCAGTGGTTTTATGCCCAGCCCCCACCTAGGAAGACGAACAAAGAGCAACTTGCAGGTTCCCCTCCAGAATGTCCCTCTGAACACATCTGACAATAAGCAGCATAAAACCCTGAATGTGGAACCCTCCGAACAACCTGGCAGCAACAAGAAGCTCAGAACTACCAGCCGGAAAGCAGCACCCATTTGCTTGGGTCATTTCCACACCCGCCATGTCTTCCAGCAACAGCTGATTGAAAGGCAAAAGAAGAAACTTCAGGAACAGCAGAAAACAATTCTGGAGCTAAAGAAAAACCAGCGGCTAGTGGAGGCTCGGTTGATAGCAGAACGTGCCGCAGCAGTCACGGATGCACAGAGCCGCCAGCTGTCAAACCCCAGAGAAGAAGAACCAAAAAGAACCTGCCAGGTGCTTCCAAAGTATGTCCATTGTGTCAGAACACTCTCTGGACTCATTATCTGGGCTTTTCACTCTGTGGTAGAAAAGCTCCTGAACTTCCTTGCCCAGCTTCTGGACTCCATATCTCTCCTTTTATTGTGCACTCTCAAAGCAAAGAAGCCCTGACCACTGTGATTGGTACATGACAGGTACAGATAGGTACTGAGGGCAAGTGGCTGCCTATAAGGATATAGTTATACAGTTGGCATTTGTAGTGTGGCTGCCTTTGTCTGAAGAGCTCTGTTGCTATACCAGTACAAGAGAAGAAGGCTTACTTGCTCTAACTTGATTTCTGTGTTTCTGGTTATGTTTCGTGCTAAGAAGCCAGGTCAGACAATATCAGGAGCAGCCCCTGGGGCTGGCTAATTACCTGGCTTAAATTTGTAGTTGTTTTGGATGAAAGTAAACATCTTTGAGCCTAGGATAAGAGTCCAAGTTTCTCAAAAGCAATTTAAGATGGTTTCAGACATGCTTGAGACCTACTCCATACATGTGATAACTGGTAGGGTAAGAAGTAGGTGATAGCTGTTGATTTGAGGCACTGGGCTGGGAGTCAGAGCACCTGCCTCACATTGTAGACTCAGGCCAGTCACTCAGCCTGTCCATACCTCAGTACACCAATTATCAAGTGGGTGTCTCAGTGAGTAAGGATTAATTAAAGTTTGTAAAATGCTTTGAGTTCCTCAGATGAAAGGGCTTTGAAGGAGGCTGGTTAATGGTCTGAATTCTTTTCCTTTTCTTTCCCCCCTAGTTCGCCTGTTGCTTCCTCTGGGACTGAAGGTAGTAGAAGTGACTCCCGAAATTCTCTTTCTGGACCCAGAAGGAACCCAAGGCAGCTGATGACACCCCATCCCATCCTAAAAGGCAGGGCTGTCTTGGGGGGGCCTTGGTGGTGGTGATCTGTCCTCTTGGAGTAGAATGTGCTGGGATTGAATCCTGGCAACTCCTGGGTTTTGAGACTTGGCAGAACCTGGTCAAAGTCTGAGGTGGGTAGGCACGTGAGGAGTGGAATGCACGAGAGAGCTCCACAACTTTTTTCCTGCCTCTTCTGCCAAACTTTTTGGCCTTCCCAGCCAACACAAAAACACATTGCTGTAAGGTTGAAATTTGGATTGTGAAAAGAAAATGGGGCAATGATACAAATAAGAAAAGTCTGAGTAGCTACTAAGGATAAACATTGATAAAGATCATGTATTGTTGTACTTTGTTAATGTTAAAATATTGATCAGTTTACAGCAATCCACATCAAGTTATTACATCATTTTATAATGAGTTGTGCCATGATGACAGGCTTTTAGTAATGAAATCTACAAACCAGACATTTTAGTTTAATAACATTTTTGATGCACATAGAAATCCTCATTTAAACCAAACAATACTGTGAGAAGGGAAGCATTCCCTAGAACCTGCCTAGTGAATCTGCTGATTGTTTTTGTTATATACTTAGTCACACACTGTACATGTTTGTGTATGGAGATAGGCACTTGGATAATTATATTGTGGTTTGTAAATCTGATTTTTCACCTGTGGCAAGATTGCTGCCCTAACAAGAAGTGATGTCATCTGAAGGACACTGTGCCTAAAGTCAGTTTCTATTAATGAAGCAATTAGCAGTCTTTGCATTAGAGGACAGCAGTGTATGCCATCTTTGTCCACCACTGAGGATGATCAGAAAGTACGCAGTTCTGTGTGATTATTTTTTAAAAATTATTTTTTGATCAGGAGTTAGCATATTAGAACCCCAGGCTACTTTTCAAGTAGTCTTTAATTATTAGCTCTAGAAAAGATGAGGAAAGGGCAAATGACCAGAGATACTGCTTCTCAGGGCTCTCTCACTTAATCCTCCAGTCTCTTTCTGCCTCCTTAAAGACAGTCTCACTCCTGCCATCTGTGGCAGCCGCATTATTCGTTTTCCAGCAAAGCAGGCACTTAATATCTGTAAGAAATAGCCTGGTGAGTTTTTTGTTTATTAATTCTTAAAAGTTGGACTTAAATTTTCTTCTCTATAACATGGCACAAGAAACTGAAAGTAATTATTGGCCGACTTAGGTGAACAGAACTTGATACTCCTCCCCCCATGCCCCTCTTCCTGTAAAAGCCCCAACTGATGACAGAGTCATATTATCAGACCATCTTGCACATTTGCTTCTTTTGGATCGATATTTAATAGACTGTCAAGAACAGGAGTCTGACACTTGATTTCGTTCAGATGCCAGTTCTCCAAATGCCTAGTACAATTCCATTTCCTGCCCATCTGGATATCCAGGCCTTAAAACTAGATTAAAATGTTAGTCATTGTGACCCTAAACTTTAGTTAGTCTGTTATTGTTGTTTCATATATGGACATATATATAGTGACTTTGGAAAAATGAGCAGACTCAATGGGATTTGAGAAGTGATTCTGTTCTCAAAGTATTTATTAGATGTAATTAAAGTTTTCTACATTCATTAAAGGAATTATCAAATTGAAATTCTGGTTTCTGGGTTTCACATACTAAAAGTATCATCACGGCACATTATCTTATTTAAACCAGTAACAGTTATTCTAATAGAAATGTAAACAAAAACATAATCTACAAATTGTTCATCATTGCTGAGGATGGGATTGTAGATCTTTAACCTGTAGGGGGTATATGTATATACACTTACAATTTATATATTTATATTTTTATATAAATTTTATACATACATATATATATTTCTGAGATTGTGAACATTCACAAGAAAACCTTAACAATAACACTAAATTTTACTGTAAAATAGAAACATTTCTTTTACAGTGTTCCTTACATTTTTGGTATTAGAACTCGGTTAACTATTTTCTAGCCATGGAAGAAAGAGCAGTTCAGCGAGCTGAACGTAGGCGCATCTTGACAGAGAGGAAGAAAAAACAAGAAGAAGAGAAATTGGTAATAAATCAGGAATGCAAACTGAGGCAAGAAAAAAGATTTGTATAGGTCTTTATTTAGAAATGATGCTTGTTGAGACAAGAAGTTACACCAACTTTGGAAATGGCTTTTTGCCTACTAGCCTGAACTCTGTTACAATTTTAGGAAAATAAAGGGAAAAAACATGGACATGGTTAGTCTAGTAGGAAGGAAATGTTACAAAAGTTGATGGGAGCTAGCAAATTGGAAGATTTACACAAAACCAAGACTAATGTGTTATAGGTAGATGTCCCACTTGCTGAGTTTGCAAAGGTGGATAGTTTTTATCTTCCAAAGTTTTGACTTAGACTGATAGAAGTAAATTTTGCACCTACTAAGAAAAAATAAACAGTTCTGACAATTTTGGGGTGGTTTTGGTGAAATGAAAGAAAATTTTTTCCCACACTGTATATAGTTTGGACTTAGTATTTCACAGATAAAAATAAGAACTAAAAATTAATCATTTTATGATGAAAAATTAATGGTCTTTTTCATGCTTAATCTCACCCTCCCAAGTAGAAGAGGATTGTTTTGGAGGACGTTTTAAGTTACACAACTGGCTTCCTGTTGTTCAGGTTTTCCCTTCTATCACAGAGTGCAGGCTTCCTTCCGAGACGGGTGGGCACTGTGGTAGATACCTGACTTTCCTCGACGTAAAAGATCTTATTTCCGTACAAATAGATGGTTCTGATTTTTATGATTTCTAATCTTGATCAGGCCCAGTTAAAGGCCCAAGAGGAGGAGCGTCAGAAGAGGGAGGCAGAAGAAAAGGAGGCTCAGCTTGAGAAAAAACGAGAAGAGAAGAGACTGAAGAAACTGGTTAGTAGCATCTGTTTGGTCAGTCTGTTGTGTGCAATACTGTGGCCCTGTGCACCTTCCCCACCCCAGAACTTCTGTCTAGAACACTCCTCTCTCACCTCCACCCTTTTTCTCTCCCTTATTTAATGCAAACCTGCTCATTCTTCAGATCTGAACTCAAATATGACTTCCAGATTAGCCTCCTCTCCACCCAGGGTTAGGTTAGGTCCCCCTTATGGTCTCTGAAGTATACTTCTCTTAGAGTGTTACAGGGCTTACAATTATGCATCTGTTTTGTGGTTGCTTTACTCATTTCTACATCCCCGACTAAACTGCAGTCTCCATAAGAGTAAAGGGAACAGTCTGATATTGCTCACTGTTGTATTGGCTAGCAGTGTACCTCACGTATAGGAGGAACCCAGCAAATGTGTTGAATGAGTGAATAAGTGAATGAAAAAACAATGAAAAAATGGAAGAAAAGATACACAGAAGAAATAAGAGACAAAGCTCTTGCTTTCAACATTATTAAATTCTAGCTGTAAAGATAAGGCCGAAAAATATACACCTGTCAGAGACAATTTAGTACAGCATATGCTGTCTTTTGCCTCACAGATCAAAAGAGATCAAGAGAGTCAAACAAGGTAAGATCCATGAAGATTTTAGAGAAATTAGAGGCATTTTTATGGAAAATAGATTTGAATTGTAAATTGTATTAGTCAAGCTTCTTCAGAGAAACAGAACCAATAAGATATATGTATAGGAAGTGATTTATTCTGAGGAATTGGCTCACATGCTTTTGGAGGCTGAGAAGTCCCATGATCTGCCATCTGCAAGCTGGAGACCCAGGAAAGCTGGCGATGTAATTCCAGTCTGAGTCCACAGGCCTGAAACTGGGGGAGCCAGTGGTATAAATCCCCGTTCAAGGGCAGGAGAAGACCAATGTCCCAGCTCAGGCAGGCGGGCAGGAAGAAAACAGGGGCAAACTCTTCCTTCTTCTGGCTTTTTGTTCTAATCTGGCCCTCAAAGGATTGGATGATGCCACCCACATTTGGGAGGGCAGTCTACTTTACTGAGTCCACTGATTCAAATGCTAATCTTATCCAGAAACATCCTCACAGACACACCCAGAAAGAATGTTTAATCTGGGCACTCTGTGGCACAATCAAGTTGACAAACAAAATTAACCATTATAAGTCTACCCCTTGTCAACTTGGCACCACTATGTATCTCCTTAAACCATACTTAATTTCCAAATAAAGACAATAACAAGATCATAATTCTGCCTAATATAATGCAACTATCCTGTGTACAACCAAAAACGCACTAACCTCTTCCCCAGGAGAGGAGGTAAAGTCCTCGAGTAATGTTTACTCTTCTCCTTGATATCCCATAACCTAACTACTATAATGTAAAATTAACAGTACTTAAATACCATGATATAAAGTCAATACACCTTATGTTAACGTGATAAGGGAGTAAGAGGAAATAAAACAGATATATATTCAAACAGATATATTCATAGCAAAATAAGAAGAGAATATTCATGACAGTTAGAGTCCTCATTTCTGTAACTGGTCATGTGGTTGTAGCTAGTATTTATAACTACCTTCTTCCACTACTCACTTTTGTTCCCTTTGCCTTCAGCAAGCACCTCTGCTGGTTGTGGTTCTTTATCTGGTGGGATGACCCAAGCCTTCATTTCTGAAGAGGCTGGGTGATTAGTAGTCCAACCTGGATTGGGTTGTAATTTTCCTTTGACCTTAATCACGGGGCATGGTAATACTAAAAGATGCCCTAAGGGGTCTCCTATATTCCAGACATACTCTTCCTTACCTCCATTGTGGAATAGGAGTCCAATTTCCCCTTGGTAGTCAGCCATCACTCCTTTCTTTGCCTGCTGATTCAGAGGCATGAGGAGCCCAAAGTGGCTGGGTGGCATTCTTAACTTCCAGTTCAATGGAATCATTGTTGTGTCTCCTGGTAGAAGCATTCCCCTCTTTGGAACCTTCTGTTCTAGGCCAGCAGAACATAAAGTCTTGGGAACAGGAAGCAAAACTTTTGCTAGTGGGTCATTGGAGGTAATAATGAGTGATGCCACTCTCACTTCCACCCCTTGATTCCTGGACCCATGAATCCTGGCTATGGGAGAAACGGTACCATATATTAGATGCTGATTCAGAGCATATACTGCCTTCTAGAGAGCCTTACCCCAGACCTGCAAGATATTGCCACTTAGATGGCACTGCAGCTGAGTCTTCAAAAGGCCATGCCACTGTTATGTCAAGCCAGCTGCTTCAGGATGGTGGGGAACATGGTAAGACCAGAAAATTCCATGCATATGGGCCCATTTCTGCACTTCTTTTGCTGTGAAGTGAGTTCCATGATCAGAAGCAATGCTGTGTCGAATACCATGATGGTGGATAAGGCATTCTGTAAGTCCATGGATGGTCTGTAAGTCCACAGATGGTAGTTTTGGCAGGAGCATTGTATTTAGGAAAGGCAAATCTGTATCCAGAGTAAGCATCTATCCCATGAAGAACAAAATGCTGCCCTTTCCATGATGGAAACAGTCCAATATAATCAACCTGCCACCTGATAGCTGGCTGATCAACCCAGAGAATGGTGCCATATCAGTGACTTAGTGTTAGTCTCTGCTGCTGGCAGACTGGCCACTTAGCAGTGGCCATAGCCAGTCGGCCTTGGTGAGTGGAAGTCTATGTTACTGAGCCCATGCATAGGCTCCATCCCTGCCACCATGGCCACTTTGTTCATGAGCCCGTTGGGCAATGACAGGAATGGCTGGGCAAAGAGGCTGACTGGTATCCACAGAATGGGTCATCTTGTTCATGGAGCAAAAGAGATATTAAATTCATCCTTTGCTAAGTCAGCCTAAGAAACCTCTAGAAACAGCTCAGTTACCTCCCTTAAAAACTACTTGAGGGATTCTAGAGTAGCATTTCCCTGACATATGTTCCATAATCCTAGTGCTTCCTGAAATATTAAATTGCTTTGAGAAAATATAAGTTCTGTGGTCAAAAAAATTTAGTAAATGCTGATTAAAGTTAAACACATTTCTTTATTAGTTGACTTCTCAGAAACTTAAACATCCTAACAGGCATGAGTCTCCAGAAGAGGGACACAGTGTACCAAGGAGTCACATATATCTGGCCACAGAACCCCTTTTTTACGGAGCACCCAGTACCAGCTCGTGGAAGAGCTCTTTGGGCTCATGCTACTGTAAAGCACTGAGACGATTTAAAAAAGACACAGTATCAAATATTTCCCCTCTCATGTCTGTTCATTCTAGAACATTTGAGAAACACCGAAAGTATGGGGAAAAAATCTCTGAGCTCAGCACTAAGGTAACTACTCTTAATATCTTAGAATATCTACTTCTCTTCTTTTTCTCTATGCATCTCTCTCTTTAGTAGTTAGGTTGATAATTTGTGTGTTTGGGGGTGTATATAGTTTTTAAGCTGCTTTTTTCCTTTAAGATTCTATCATGAGTATTTTCACTTGTCATTCAGAATACTTCAAAATCTCTATATGTTGAAGGTCATTTTTTTTAAATAGGCTTTTTATTTTGGGATAATTTAGATTTAGAGAAAAGTTGCAAAGGTAGGACAGGGAGTTTCCATATACCCCTCACTCAGTTTCAGTCTCCCCTAATGTTATCATCTTACGTTGCCATGGCACATTTCTCAGAACTAAGAAACCAATGTCAGTACATTACTGTTAACTCCAGACTTTATCAGATTTCACCAGTTTTTCCATTAATGTTCAGGATCCAAACCAGGATACCACACTGCATTTGGTTGTTATGTTTCCTTAGTGTCCTCTAGTGTGTGACAGTTTCTTGGGGTCTTAGTCTGTTTGGGAATATAAGAAAATATCACAGACTCGGTAGCTTATAAGCAACAGAAATTTATTTCTCATACTTCTGGAGACTGGAAGACCTAGATCAGGGTGCCAGCATGGTCAGGTTCTGGTAAAGACCCTCTTCTGAGTTGCAGACTGCTGACTTCTCCCTGTGTCCTTGCATGGTGGAAGGGGCAAGGGAGCTCTACAGGGCCTCTTATTGTAGCACTGATCTCAGCCAGGAGGGCTCCCCCCTCACGACCTAAGCACCTCCCAAAGGACCCCCTCTAGTACTGTCACACTAGGTGTCAGGATTTCAACAGATGAATTTTGGGACACATTCAGACCATAGCACTTAGTCTTTTCTTGTTTATCATGACCTTGACAATTTTGAGGAGTACTGATCAGGTACTTTATAGAATGTCCTTCAATTTGTGTTGGTCAGATGTTTTTCTTATAATTATTCTGGAGTAATGGGTTTTTTTCTTGAGATGCCACTGAAGTGAAGTACCCCCCCTAATCATATCATAGCAGGGGATACGTGATATCAAGGTGCCTTATCTCTGGTGATGTTAACCTTGATGACTTGGTTAAGGCAGTGTTTGACAGGTTTCTCCACTGTGAAGTTACCATGTTTCCCTTCTCATGCTCTATTCTTCAGAGGCAATTCATTAACTCTGGTCCACTCTCAATGTAGGGAAGAGTGGATATTAAGCTCCATCTCCTGAAGGGAGGACTATCTACATATATTATTTGGAATTCTTCTGTAAGGAAGATTTATTTCTCTTCCTCCATTTATTTACTTATTCAATCATTTATATTAGTGTGAATTCATGTATATTTATTTTATACTTTGAGTTATAAAAAACATTATTTATTTTGTTCCTCAAATTGTTCCCACTTTGGCCACTGGGAGCTCTTTAAGGTTGGCTCCTGTGTCTCTTTGACATGCCCCCATCTTTTTTTGTTTTTTTAGCATTTTACTTCCCAACACTGTTCATCTTGTATTTTCACTGCCCCAGCCCTAGAATTAGCCGTTTCTCCAAGGTGCCCTGGTTCTAAATGGTATTTGGAAAGCAATATCTGGACAATGAGGGTGCTCATTGCTACTGGGGTGTCATTGAGTCTAGCACCTCAGCAGACAGAGCTAGGTATATACATAT